CGGGAACGTTGATGAAGAACGCTGTGAGTGAAATGTTGTAGTGCGGATGTTTTTTACCGTTATTTGCTTCAGCTGTGTGATCCATATTAGGGAGCAGAGTCTCTTACGGATTGACAGTCATCAGAAGTGATAGTCATCTGGTGGAGAAATGTTCCAAGTCTAGGAAGCAAGTTAGACAGAAATGGGAAAGCCCTAAAGGGCGGACATACATGGAAATAAGCTACGTTTTTAGCAACCGACGTTGGAGTCTATTTGACATCTGCTGTAACCATCATTTGAGACTGGCTCGATTTATCGTCTAGTACGCACAAAGCCTCTAGAGAAAGTATGTGAGCGTGACCCACATCCTTCGTTCAGTAGCTAAGAGTATGTTACTAGGTCGCTATGCAGATTCGAGCTCACAATTGGGGGCTTGCCTGATGACGCCAACGGAGATTACGAACGCCTGTTGCGAAAGGGCTTGCTAGCGTGTGCAGACCTCTCTCAAAGCCTCTTTGATCTCCATTTGTCGAGGCAGTGAAACACTTTCTTGCGTCACGCCTCCATCGGCGGAAACGAGTTGAAAGGCGGGTGAAGCCATTCTGCACTAAGCTTACCTAAAGAGTCAGCGTGAGTGCATGGACAATCCAAGCAGTTACCCAGCTCGTCGAGTGGAACCACAAACGGCTTCCCTTGGTTCCTGATTTGTAGATTATAAGGAGGCATCCGGCTCAGCTGAGGTCAACGCTGTTCTTAATGCCCTTATGCAAGCCGCAGTTCTCCCTCCATGTATCCATCGCGATATCTCCAAAATTGTTCAGGCTCACCACAACATGCTATGTCTAACCGTGATTGGCAATACAAAGAATACCTCATTAACGGGAAAAGAATCAATAACCTCCGCTACGCTGATGGTATAGCTTTAGTCTTCACTGAAGCAGTGGAAATGGAGATGACCAACACACATAATGTGGCAGGTCTGAAGATTGGCTTGGAAATAACGTCTAAAATCAAAATGATAGTGAGTTAGTGAAGTGAATGGGAGGAATAAAATTGGCAGGAAAGCCCTACAAAGAGCGGAATCTTACATTTATTTGGGAGGTGAACTGGACATGGCAAACAACATCATTTCTGAAATGAAGCGCTGAAAAAGCGCAGCATAGGCAGCTTTCAGATCGATTCATTGAGTAATAGATCAAGTGAACGACCAACACTAAGGGCTTCTTCATCACTGCCTCAGTACATGTTGCCAGCAGTGTGCTACGCAAGTGCAGCCTGGCTTAAGAACGGGACTGTCGCCAAGACCATGCAAACTGCTCACCGTGTATCGAAAGGTGTTTTCTGAAGACTAGCTAAAGACAGCAATGGCAGCAAATATACGAAGCTCTGAACTGAACGATCACGCTGAAAGATCCGCTTCTATACATGGCACAGTTGAAGCATCGATGGGCCGGTCATTTACTTCGCCGCACTGATGACAGATGGAGTCTACGCGTGACGGAGTGGCTCCCAAGGAACAAAACGAGACCTCTAGACGACCGTCAACTCTCTGGGCCGACTCGTTTAAAAATTTTGTAGTTACTACATTCAAAAAATTTACAAAATTATGGTGACACAGCGAGGGAGTGGCAGCAGCACCGCTGTGCCCCATTGTTTATCCTTGCGTTTACAACCCCCTCCACTGACTTCGAAGCAGAAACGATCCCCTGTCAAGGATTTTCCGGACCGTTGTTCACGGTGGTTGAAATCCTTGCCCGCCGCACTATCCACTAACCACTTGGAACTACACGAGTGTGATGCCGACGCTCACGGAACCATAACGCTTTCTTCAGCATATGGCCAGGACAACCGCATTATGTTGTCCAAACGTCGTGTTATTTTCAATGTACGGTTAGAGAATCTCTCGATATGACGCTAGTCAGCGCTGTAAACGATGTAAGCCACAATAAAGCAGTGAGAATGGCAGTTCTTCAAGAAGTTTTCTTCACTCATTTTTTGGTATTCGGAGGGCTGTTTGGGAGAAAAGAGCTAGAGTTCTATGTTCCATGCACTAGCCTCCGTACTGTGCTAAAAATCATTTCGAGAACGCTGAGCGTGTCCTGAAGACCTTCCTGGTTTCTATTTATTAGTGAAAACAAGATGTAAAAGAAAAATGAGCCGCACCAAAAAATCTGCGTGGTTCAGAATGTCATTGCTAATTTCTAGCAAACCTGGCCATTCTGAGAGTGACTATTTCGTCGTGGGATTAAGGTTCCTTCTGCTGTATAAGTACAAAAAAAGAAATAAATCGCGGATGCGCGTAAAAAGGATGTAAAGGGTGCAGGGCACACATTGTACGTCCCACGTGGTCCTACGTGGTCTTCGAGGTGCGGGACGTATTTGACCTGCGCTGTCGTCAACCTGTTGGTATGGGATTAATTAAGTCCGTATATTATAACACTACGAGATAAGAAAGTGAAACTGTAAACAACGAGCACGGGCATTAATTTTCTGCTTTATTCACAGAGTGTCACATTCTTTTGTTGAAGTAGATCACAAAAATGATGGTATAGCATATTCAAGGTCTTTATGTGATAATTGTAAGTAAGTTATAGAAATCGTGCACGGAAGCAGCATGCTTGAATCCCCTTCACAGTTCATTGAGCTGATGGCCTTTCACCAGGCTAAATACGAAAGGACCGAAAAACACGTGCATTGCTGAAAAATCTGGAAAACACATGAATCTTTCATTCATTCGTATTCCCAACGATTTACTAATGTTGGCAGTAGGACAGTTTATATTTGTTTCCAGAAGTGTTTTCACTAGGAACCCTATTCGGCCTATTCACCTATGCCAGGTACCTTTCAATCTCCTATTGCATACTGACCTATCGTGTTTACATTTCTTTTCCAAACGACGCATTACGTAAGAGGCCGCCCCACCCCACACTTCTTTCAATTCGTCCCCTTATCTTCACCTAGGTGTCCGCCTGTGTACACAACCAATGTCTTCACATGGATTGTTACTTCTAAGCTGAATTTCCATACAAGGGACATTGCAACTAATCATCACACACGACGCATTCATGCGATGGAGGAATACAACAAGCTTCCGTGCACGATTTGTTCAAAAGCCGAGATCCTCATTACAAAAAGTTTGAGAGCGATTTATATTTCCACCGTCCATTCTGGACGCAGTAATCGACCATATTGGATATCCGTCAGTGTGTGGAATAGCCTAAAAATACCAAGTAGAATATATCGTTATCACTTGTATACGCTACAGAGCAGACATCGGTGTGAAGCTATGAGAAACTAATGGGAGACGTGCGGTTTCTCCCCTGGGGTCGCCGCCGCGCCGTCGCACGCGGCAATCGACGCGGCGAAGGCTATGTGGTGGTTGGATGTGGCGGTGTGGCGGGTCGCTCGGCCCATCGCTGGCATTTTGCCAGGTACGATCGATAGACTGCTATTATCAGAATGCCAATAAATTAGTGAGGATTACAAAGTCCGGTGAGTGACCGCAACCGTAACACGTGACTGGTTGGCGCGCAACGTCACGTGTCATCGATTAGAATTCGACGTGCCCTTTTGTCGTTTTTCCGCGCACTCTACGGCGACAGAATGGTCCGTGCTGGTATATAGGAGGAGTATGGCAGTTGGTCGAACTTGCCGGCAAGTAGGTTTGGCGGCACCCCGGGGCTAACCTCCCTTGCCCTGCGCGCGAAGCGCGCGCAGCCGCTTGCCTCGCCGCGCAAGCGGCGAGGCGAGTGCTGCGTGTATTTTTGGATAGTCGCCCAAGGGCGGCTGTGGTGGTTGGGGGTATTGTGCACTCGCCAGCGAGGCATTATACCCTCTCACGTTGGTGCTGAAACGTGTGGGTACACAGCAGTAGTGTAGCTGCGCGCTCCAGTGCCAACGTGGATTACGGTAGCGGTCACTCATCGGACTGTTAAAACCGGCTTGTATGCCAATAGGGGATTGATTAGCGGTAGAAACATATGGTTTTAGCCCTCTTCCACTCTTTTGGCTGTTGGAGTGGAAAGTTCGTTAATTTTATCGATTCGTTACTGCCGAATGAGCAACTTAGGCGCTGTTTGAGTGACCTGTTTAATTTGACTGACCCCCTTCTCCCCAATGGCGTGAAAGAGAGTAGATCATGCAGTATGGCGATATGTTACACATGGCGCCCATACTAGTTGACGCTACTAATTTCTTAACTGAATTTCTGGAGCTCTTGTCCATGGGGGACATCCAAAGTGAAAGAGCCTTACTGTGCTTGGGACTAAGCCACCTCGTCACTTGACAATCAAATGTGAAGGGCTGCAACGGTGGACAACAGCATGGACGAGTAAAAACCTCCACATCGCGAAATCGCCGCACACGCGACGAGTGCGATCGCCGCGTGCGACGGTGAGCTGACCCCAGGAGGAGAAACGCTACGCACCCATAGGGTCAGAGAAGGAGAGGAGGTTAATTTAATGGTGAGCGTAGCCAACATAAAGTGGATGAGTTTAGCTATCAAGACTATGACTCGGTTTTAAGAAGTCCCGGAGACCGGGAAAAAGGTGAATAGAGGTGAACATGGGAAGTTTAGGAAGTTCACCTTGAAAAACGTTTCCCCCACATTTCCTGAACCTGATTTTCTAGATATAGCACGTTTTTATTCGAATACATGTGTCAAGTATGAATGGGTTGTGATTTTGAATTCATTAGTTTAATACCTTTTTCCTCACTATCCAAGACTTATCGGGACCGAAGTAAGCGAACTTGTAAGAAACGCTGTGTACATCAGGGCACACTCCGCCCACGTCATGTATGCTGGGAACACCTTAGACATTGCTTCCCTGCACCAATTTTTTCTGCTCTGTAAGCATTTCTCCCAACCGAGTTATGAATTTTTTCATATGCTTTTTTCTACTACTTTTGTTAAGAACGCCCCCACCCCTCTCCCCAACGGTGGTGGATCTCCATTTTCACGCCTCATCAGTTACAATTTATCGTAGTCAGAAGCCATTCTCAAAGCCTTCAAAGAGAAAACCTTACTTGGCCATAAGTGATTTCTTCATGTCTATTTGCGGAAAGCGAATACTTTCTTCTTTGCCGTCAATCTTGTACAAAATCTCGCCGATCGGAGAAACAACCACTGCAGTGCCGGATCCGAAGAACTCGTACACCTAAAATAAGGCTACGTTTAGTTGTAGTAAGCTGCATGTAATGCCATTTTTCTCCATGTGAAAATTTATACTGAATTTCTGAATTTTTACATCACTTTTTATATCATTCGAAAGAGAAACGCCTGCTTTACGAAACCTTCAGTTTCACTTCTATTAGGTTGTAAGGAAAGTTCTGGCCGTTTCGGACCCTGAAGTTCAAATGCGCATATCTCGACTCAAACGCAACGTTTTCGATCGCAATAAAAACCTGCTGTTCTTGCGAACATTCCTTGTGTTTGATCATTCCGCTCACTAGAAGTACTGTAGTTCTAGAGGCGATGAACTAGGCGAAGGTCGTTTTATCATCACGTCAGATTTCGTAGCATTTCTCCTTTAGGGTGCTATCCAGACCTTTGAAAAAGCGGCGGTGAATAGGTAAGAGGACTAGGGAGTGGGATGTTTAGGGTATAGTTCAGTACCTCAGCTAGTTCGTTTTTTGCAGGGTCGGTTCTGCGGTCGACGGTTGAGGTGCATCTCGGCAAACAATCGGGCCATTTCTGGCAGCCCTTGCTGGGCATATGTGCCAAGGTTTCAGGGTATTTTGGCACCTTGCAAATGATACTGTCTTACTATGATAGTTCCGCCTGTGCTCGGGGAGTTGCGCCTGCTGTAGACCGCGTAAAAGGCAGAACAACCTTCTCCTCGTGCATTTCACCTTTGCAAATTTTTGTTGACCCTAGTCTTGATCGAACTTCTCAGCCGAAGACTATAGGTTATTGAGAAGAATCTATTCTACATTGCAACTCACAACACGAACAGAAACCGATCGTTTTCTTTGGATGAAAGATTGCAGAAGAAGGGCAGACGGCCCTACGGAATCGCAACTTTTCGCAACCCCTAGTTATTGACTTTTCCGTGCTTTTTAAGCCATCCCAAGAATCTTGAAACCATAAATCAAATACACACAATTCAGTAGCGGTCTTCTAAACTGTTTTAAGCACATTTGGTTCTATCAAATGTTTCAGTTGATTTTTACCGAAATTCCACATCCAACGGTCACCCTCGCCAACTTCGAGGATATCGGCCGTCCCTACATAGGCTTTCCAAACTATCGCTTCATGGCTTATTTTTCGCAAGTGCATGACCAAACGAATAATTCATATCATGGATTTATTCCACTCCTTTCTGCCCTTATTCGAGGTAGAAGAAGAAAATCGTGAGGATTCGCTTGGTGAGCATGTTCCATTCAAGGCCTTAACAAAGTGGGAGTAGTCCATCTAGAGCAAAGTTTACATCGTATTTGGATAGAGCAGGAAACACGCTTTTTAGCGATATGCAACTCGTAGCAATACTGCCGAAAATTTAACCAGAAATAATGAACTATCGAAAACAGCCAGAACTTTCCTTACAATCTAATAAATTCGTGTTTAGCATGATAAATACCAGGCTTGCAAAATGGGAGGCCTTTTTGACGAAAATAAGCCATAACAGCAATTAGGTCTAACTCTGTCTTGGAAGAGATCAAATGACTATTTCCCCTGTACTCGGTTACGACCTCTTCTGAGCATCGATATCGAGGTTGCTTACAACTGTGTCGCTTTCTTTCTAATGGTTTTTCCGCCGCCAACTGATCGCAACTAGCTGTCTGTTGCATCAGATACAAAAAGTAGGTTACGCCGAGGTGTTCGTAAACTTGATTACGATATCCAGAAAGTGCGACTAAGCATAACACTAGGCACGCAGGGCCCATGATTTGTTTTTTTAATTTTTTTTAAATTTTTTAATTTTTTTTCAAAGGAAATAGTATTGGAGTGATTTGGTATGTTGGTGAGCAAGACACCTTAACCTATGGTTAAAATTTGGCTATTCACAATGAATACAAAAAATGATGACCGAATAGAGCAGGTCTTCTAGACGGAATATCAGTTCTGGTAGAAACGCTTCTTGCAATGAGAAAGTACGAGTGTATGGGGATTAATTCTCTAGGTGGAAAAAAGTTTGAGCTGTGGATGCAAAATTCAAGCCCAAATCAAGTTTGCAACGAATGGAGGAAGAGCTGAAGAGTTTTGTAGAACGGATAATGCTCTTTTAGATGGTCGAAATACTAGACTAGCTGAAGCTATGGCAAATAATGTTATTTGCAAGCGCGCCTTATAGCGACTAGCCTGAGGATTTGGAAAGATTCTTTGGCCGCCAGACTGTTTCAGAATTGGTGCGCGTTTATTGGTATATGGCGAGCTGTGGGAAATGACTGCTCATCACTAGCACTATAATAACTTGGTCAGTATCCACTCAGATTCGAGAGTTAGTAAAGTGCTGCTTAATACAGAGACGCTCATGCCCAGTTCCATGAAGTTCCTTTGACGGCGCGCGGTAGCCAGTAGAGCTAAGGCAGTATTAGTATTACAGAGGGACTTCAAATTATATAGCGCTGTCCACATGAGCAGTTACAATTTCGCTTTAGATGCGACATTTTTCCTCTAAGGTCATGACGATGAGAGAGCCATAGTGGGAGTAACTGAGCTAGTCCACAGCTGGTGAAGTCGTCGAGAAGCTTCATTAATTATCACTTCCTTATCCACGTCGGTAGGCACAATCGACTCACAGCATGACTGCCAGTTTGATTCCGAATAATTACTCTGGCATAAGACACTATTGAGGAGAGTATCGCTTACCCTATTTTCCTTGACTGCCTTTCGGAGCTCATCCATTGTAAAATCACGCTCTGTCACTTTGATGTTGCCCATTTCACGTGCCAGCTGGATCACGGAATGGCGTGTAACTCCAGGTAAAATGAGACCTGCAGAAGGATGACGAGGATATGAATATCTGTGACATACTACATATGAGTTACGTCATGGAAAATGCCTGTAAAATCGGATAGTCAGCCTTGCGAATCGATTCTAGGTCGCAAAATCTATCCTTCTTGCGGCCTCTGATAAATTCATCAACATACATTCTACTGGTCGCAGGAATCGCGACGTTGCTTAGTTGTTGTTTGCCCTCCCCTTTCTAGCATTACGATTAAGAGGTGAGAGCCTTATCGTATTTGTTATATATGAGTTCAAAGAAGAGCGAGGTATCTGCCGAATCCGGACCGTTCGGTCAGCTTATTTCGCGGCGACTCGCTCAACTAGCTTGTTGCTACCCAAGGTGGACTAGCGCGGCACACAACAAATAAACCAAACGTGCAACTATGGTGCTGAGGTTGCAAAGGGGCAGAGGTGGACTTGTTTCTGATTTGCTTATTGATGGGCACGGCGACCAATGGCTAGGCGTCATTCACAAGAGCAGCTTATTAGACGAAACACTGCCAAGGCGGCGAAAGAACTCACTCCTCGCTGACTGAGTCGACGATTCTGTGGACATAACACCGCCCGCACTTTAATCCAGCTTTCAAAATTATGAACACCATTGAAAGACGGCTGTTTCTTATTGAAACTTCTCAAATCTTACAGGTGACAGGGCTTTGTAGAGGCCGTCATACAAGGCCCTCAATCCTTTGACAACACTGGTACCAAAACAGGTCTAAGCGACGTGAAGTCAAAAAAACTTCAGAATACGAACCCCCCCCCAGAGCAACGGGGTTGCCATGCACACCTCTTCTTTACGCATAGTCGATCCTGACGAGATATGATTATTCTTGGAGCAACTGATCTTTTAAAGGAACACGTTACGTTTTAGGGAAATGGGACACGTGTTCCAATGCCTTCTTCTGGGTGCACGAATCGTTAATTTAGAAGAAGATTTGCAAGTTTTCCAACAGTTTAAATGAAATTTTTAAAATGCCAGACTTTCTACAAATGCATTACTTCTGAAACATAACATATGTCTGGAAACCAAAAAATTACATTAATTCAGAGGTGTAAACTTTGTTTGATGAGTAGGTCATAATTTGCCGCTGTGAGAATTTTTGCCTGAGTATCGCTGAGTTTCGTTGCGTTATCGCTCCTTAAAGGCAAAAGTCAGGCTCGTGTTTCGGCATTATGGCACCTGATATTGAGTTTAGAGATGGGAGGTGGAACGATAGTGAAGAAAAAACGAAAAAAAAACTGTCGACAACACCTAAATAGAAACCCATTCCTTCTAGCAGTGAAGGAGATTTGCTCGGGGGAGAGTCACGTCCAAACGAGTTTTCTGGATATGCCAGCCGTTCCATCGGTTGATACGGCAATCAACTCAGCTGATCTCACACGTTAGGCCAGCCACGCACCACATCCACATCTGTGCTGCCGGAAATTCTCGCAGCACGGCAGCACACAATTGCAAGGCCCTAGCGCCTTTGCCGCGCACTTCCTTGTCGCGACAGCGTCACACCCCCTCTGCTTGGAGACCCCACTTTCGCACCCTATAAAGGACTTCCTCATGTTCCCTAATCCTGACTCGTGGCTTTAAGCAAATATCTCCCTTCATCGACATTTTTGTGCAAATATGAATATGAGATTCTCAAGCTTTCCTTTTTCTAATAAGTGGAATGTACTGTATGATTCAAAATTAAATGGTCATATGTTGATGAAGTTACGTTGAAAATTGCATTTCAGATAGTATAATTATTCCCTCCAGTCATTCTTACCAATTCCTTCCGAACTCCTTTTGATGTCTCGCCACCTTACATTTCCGTTCACGGGACAGGAATCGAAGTGCATCCGCCCGATGCACACAACATCTGGTGCGAAACGTGGTTCCCATCCACTTTCAAACAGGCTACCACAGTTTTGATCATTGCTGACTCTGGCACTTACGACCCCTGCCCAGTGGACCTAATACGACCCTCTCACCGAGAAGTCCTCGATGCACGCTGTACCCTGTAACAAATTGCACGTTGCGCACTCGAAACATTGCTCCCGTCCCATGCTGCCAAAAACAAAAAACGGCCTGTAGTCAAGGTTTTAACAAAGCAACTAATTTCATCGCCGAAACGTATTACCCTGACGCCGAAATACAATCGCTTGCCTCAGTGGGTTCTGTACTGAAACAGAGACTACCACAATCAAAGCGTAGTGCACCTGGAGTGCGCGAGTAGCGTGACGCTCATGTTATATGACGGAGAATCAATTATAATGACCAATAACAAATGTCTGTATTATTCGTGTTCACAACAGTCATGCTTGGAACTAGGATAATAATGCATTGTTGAATGAGTGTGGCGGACCATTTTTTATAGAATTTTTGACTTTTTTCTGGCACTGGTTCTTTTTCTTCTTCTTCAAGCAAGTTGAAAGAAAGTCATTTTTTTAGAGGTCTCCCTTTCACTCACCACTCTCTAACGACGCCGTAATCAATTCATCTTCGCCTTGTTCGTTTTTCCAATGCAAAAAGACATTCATGGCACCAGCTTCCGTCACCTGAAAACAATTTGATCGGAAGAATTGGCAATCATCTTCTTTTTCATGCACTTCGACGAAGCGTATCACTGAGTGAACCATCAAGGGTTCCTTTTTCATCATGGAGGATACCTCTAAGGCAACGTTCAGAGTTGGCGAACGTACATGCGACTAGGCGATTGGATCACAAGTCTACAGGGAAATGGATGCGTATCGATTAGGCGATTAGGCGATGGCTCAATTTGCGTAGCAACAAATCAACGCATCCTTCTGTGCTTCTGTGCTCGAGCGAATGGTATAATGTGGTGATACATATGTCTATCACCAGGAGTCGAAAGGTTATTTTTGTTGCTCACAAATACAGACTGGTTCTAATTTGTCCTTGACTCGTCAGAAAATGCTTTTGATAGTTGCTAGGAGAAAATTTGCTGAGTTCGCAGCTAATTGCCGCAGTCTACATTTACCCGCAGGTGTATGATTCTACTTATCGAGATCATAAGTTATTTTAATTTGGAAACACCCATCAGAACGATATAACCGCTTTATGCTCTCCTCACAAAAGCAATAATAGTTTTGATCGACATCGACCGAAAGACTACAACGACATTCACTCAAAACTACCTGGGATGGTAGTAAAGCCCCCGGAAGAGCCAGCCTATAGGTGGCCACAAGGTCACGTTGACCTCGCCTTCGTCCGCTCCCAAAAAGCATTGAGGAAGGGGTCAAACGCAGCATAACTCAGGCAGAGAGCAAAGTCTAGGCCACACGATTAAAGGACGAATTCACGATAAGATCGAAGGTCGGAGAAGGAGGAAATGGCCTAGTTGAGATACAGGCGCACCTCCTAAGGGTGCGCAATCGTCAGCGAAAGATTTGACCTCGCGCTCCTAGCTTGGAGCGGTTGGCAGGTGTTCGTCCACCGACCGTCTAATCACTCGCCGCAGGTCTGCGTGGCGAGTGATTAGATAGCAAAGAGGAGGTAGTGTTGGAAGAGGGTACAAAGATGAGAGTCGCATCAATGCTCAAATCAACGGGCAAGGAAGGGTCCATTTCTCGGGTCTTCTGGGCCATTTTCCTCAGTTTTTTTCTTCTGTTCGTGGCATCGCTGGCCCATGCTGCTAAACTACAACTAATTTTAGAATGGGTTGCTTTTCCATCGTGTTGATCGTCTTTAAAGGACGAATTCACGATGAAAAAGCAACCCATTTCAAATTAACCTAGGGATGGTGAGTGGTACACGAAAGAAGGAAGAACCATGAGAAACGGCCCAGAACCCGAGAAATGGTACCCCTTCCTTGCCCGTTGATTCGAGCATTGATGCGACTCTTATCGCTGTGCCCTCCTCAACATCACGCTCTCTCTGCTGTCTGATCACTCGCCACGTATAGACCTGCGGCGAGTGATCAGCTGGTCGGTAGGCGGAGATCGCCGGACCCGCCAACTTTGAGGCATAATAGGTCGCCGAGGTCAAATTTTTCGATGCGACTTGCGCATTAATTTTTTTTTTCGATTTGCGCCAGATCAGTTTCGCCCTCACACTAGCAGGTCCGTGCTTGCTCAAGTAGGGTAAATTACTCCATCCTCGACTCTCCAAATCTAATGTTAATTCGTCCTTCAAGTGCCAATCAACAAGATGGCATTGAATCCTGAGCGCGAACCCGGCTGAGAAAAGAGGAAGTGCATAGGGATTGAAGAGACGCAGAGCGTTGAACGCGAATAAACGTCCCTCTGACACATTAGTCGCGTTCTACCACGACCACCCGCGTTTCTGCAATGACTGTGGACTTCTCCTTTTGGCCATCATACGTTGGACGCAGTGCGACCCTCTGCATCTCTGCCATCCCTACTGATTCGCTAAAAGCGCATAGCGACTGGCAGAATGAGAGTCGGTAGTAGGCGGTGAGGGTGCAGACGGCGAGAGCGTTGCCGAAGCTATCGATAATATTGGTAACTACCTGCCGATGAAGTGATCACTGTTTTATGTCGCTTTCCAGTATTTATTGTGTTATACTCGATATCGGTGAGTTGGGGTGGGCGTGTCACCGGAAGTGACGTGCACTTGATAGAAACTATGTGGATAAGCTGCTTCCAACATACATCGCTGGCTATCAGCAAAGCATGCTGGCAACAGCTTATCCACGCACTTCTATCAAGTGCACGTCACTTCCGGTGACACACCCACCCCAACTTTCGGATATCGACTGTAGCTCATTCCTAGGACACACCACTCTGGCTCATTCCCTAGCACAGACACGACGAATGGCGCGCGTTTGCGTTCAGGTTGGCACTGCAATCGGACCGGGATAACCCTTAGTATAATGTTTTGCACCTTCATAGGTTATTCGATTTCTCTACAGCTCCTTCCCGTAAAGCAAAGTGGGCTTTGTATGTGCAGTGGCGGCGGCCACGCTAATGAGTTCTTTAACTACAAGGTTAAAGTCCATGAGCGATACAAGCTCCTGACAATGCAAGGATATTCGCTGTTCCGAACAGGGTCGACTCGCGTTCTCGCCTTACATATTCGCCGTTAATGCCGAAGATCACCACGTTTAATCCAGTTACTAGCCGCTCTATTCGTTTTCAGCTGCAAAAGGAAATTCCCATTGGGATTCCGCTATCGAACCCACATGTATCCATTTGCGATTCTAAGCACAAATCTTTCTTGAGTCACAATAGAAGTGTATGCCGACAACATCCTTCTAGCAGCTGCTAGCAGGGAGGAACTACAGGATCGAATTCGGACCTGGTGCGATCCGTAGCCGGCGACATACGGTCTCCGCTCAATATCAAAAAGATCGAATACTGACGGTTCAAGATGCGGGCACTATCCAAGTCATTGGCAAGGAAATTACCCGAAAACCGTCTGCTTTAGGTATTTGGGGTCCCGCTTACAAGCCAATGGAGGTCTCGACGACGAGATAGGATAGGCACGGCATGGATACGATGGAGAGAGGTCACCGGAGTGCTTTGCGATAAACGTATGCCAATTCGCCTCAAGTCGGAGGTATATCGAACCATGGTCCGCGTTCTGCCGCATTATATGGATCTGAATGTTGGCCGATTACAAAAGGCGCTGAGCGTTGACTTCACGCTATGGAGATGCGGATGCTCCGGTGGTCGCTGGGATCTCACGACTAGACCACGTTTGCAAACGAAGTGATTCGACGGCACATGGGTGTTGCGCCTATTACACAGAAAATGCGAGAGAGACGACTGCAGTGGTACGGCCACGTCATGCGAGCTGCACCTAATACTGTCGCTGCCACTGTATATCGCTTCGAAGTCGACGGCAAACGACCTCGTGGGAGACCAAGCAGCGATGGCAAGGACACGATCAACGAGGACATGAAATCGCACAACTGCGCCGCGAAGATGCCCTGGAATCGAACAAAATGGCGCTCTTCGATCCGAACAACGGACCCTGCATCCAGCGGGACAACGTTAAGAAGAAGAAGAAGAATAGAAGTGTAAGTGCTTTAAATAGAGGTTTTAGCGAGAACCACTCACTGTTCACACTTTCCCCTTACTATAATGTTCCTATTGCGTTTTCACCTATATGAGGTCTTTTGTGTTGAGACTAATAGAATGAAACACTGGCATAATGAGCAGATTATATAGTGGGGTAATAAGCAGTGAATTGTATTCACTAACATAGTGGTTCTCTCCTGTTAGCCACAGGACTTGGTGGCAACCTTCTGCTTCTGCTTCTGCAGCAACACTCAGTGTAGGAGCATAGTTACAGCCCATCTTGAAAGCACCAACACCGCCTTTGGCTGCACGCACGAACTTCGCGTCGGCAAGCAACTTGATCGGCTGAAAACACATAGCAAATACACGCTGTTTCTGTTCAAAATTCGAATCTGTCTCTTACAGCTGACATACCGAAAAGCCGCCTGTAAAGTAGGCTCCGACTGGCCCTGTGATCACGAATAGTTTTGCTTTATTCGAATACTGCACTCCCAAAGATGTCTCTGTTCCAATTAACGTTGGGCGTATGTAGAGAGAAGCTCCTTTTTCTTTGGGCACCCAAGCTTGGTCAACACGTACCTGAAATATTAGCAGTTCTACCGAAAAAACTCTATGGATGGCTCAGTCCAACATATCTGCAAACTTACCAAATCTTTTATACATTTCAATAGCTCGTCACCGTCGAATACCGGTAGAGCTGCGCGTCTGGCCGTTCGTATCATACGCTCCATATTGAGCTGTGGGCGAAACAGTCGAATGCGGTCGTCGTCACCGCGATATGCCTTCAATCCCTCGAATAGCTCTGTGGCGTAGTGAAAGACCTGGAATTAAGAGGCGGCTCTTTGTTAGTCATGTAATTATAATGGATTTGGTGCAAAAGTCCTGCGACACAATCACGAATGGATCGTTGTTCGTTCTGTTCTAGAGCACACAGCACTTTACCACGCAGGTTGATAGGCGCCGTGTGTTTGTGCTATGAACTACGCCGTTACTGCCGAAAAAACGATTTGCTTCTTCACTTCCCAGGAGAGGGGGGGGGGACGGGGAAGTGGTGTAGTGGTAAGTGGCGCGCTTACCACGCGAGCGGTCCGGGGATCAATGGGTCGTGAGTCGCCCGGGCCAACCAAGCCTTCCATCCCTCCGGGGTCGGTTAATTGGTACCAGACTTGTCTGGGAGGATAAAACACTGACTTGTACATCGGCTGGCCCCGCAAGTCATTGTATAGGCCACATCGCATTCAAACGCCACTACGAATGTACAAATGGAAGTAGAATGCGTGCCGCATCCCAAAACGGGATTGATCAACGGCAAATGCTTTACCCTTTACCTTTTATCTCCACACGTGGCAGCGCGCACGCTCAGCTCTCCAGCATTAGAACTGCATTCAGGAAGGCTCTCGTCAGCGATGTGACTGCCAGCTGTAGCCTTCTTCGCTTCAAGGCTGGAGATGCGGGACTCATTGAAAGCTTTTCGATCTGGACTGCTGGGTACACAAATGACGAGTGTCTTTTGATGAAGCTATGAAAATCCAACTTTTCTCTGCTTGCCGCCTCGGTATGTCAGCTGTAAGTTTGTTGAATTCTTGTGCCTTGCGTGTGGTGGAACATTTATTTCAACGGCCTAAGGTCGAGTAAACCGTCATTCTCAGAAGCCGACGGTTTCGCCTTTCGAGGAAGTCGAGAAGTCCGCTGCCACACAAGAGCGGTACTCATCATCAGTAGCGAGTTGTTCGTCAGAAATCCATCTCGCTTCGTCTGAAAGCGGTAGCCGCCCGTCAATCGTTGAAGTTCCTCCTACGCTGCAAGACGACCGGCGTGCTGCCTCGCTTCATAACAAATACGAAGGCAAGAGAATCGGGAGTCTGTCATCGGCCGATCAGCAGAGCAGCTTCAATGCGACCAATCTGACGTCGTTCAACACTTCATGACAGCTTTCAAAGATACCTGAACTCATGGTAAAGCCCTCCGAAGTCAAGCAAACTGTTGGGCGGATTTCGATGCATTCAAAACGTGACCAATATCAGCAGCTAGCACTTTTGGTATTGTTAGCTACCTTTCCACGGATAATGTTCTCTGTTCAGGTTCTGTACATTTTCGTTTATTTTCGAGTTCAATATGATGTCTTAAAATGAAGTAGAACCCAAGAAAGCCTTCTCTTTTTTTCAAGATTTGGTCTTCCTTTTAACTCGAGGTCTTCATGTCGATGGTAGCCACTGACTTTACCTATTTTGTGCCCTTCGCGCTGAACCAGCTCTTCCGTAATTTAATGTTCGAGAAATTGGAGACTTAAAGGCCCAAGTCAGGCTCAGTGGACCAAACCAATCCCTTTTGTCGTCTTTGTGCATGGCTACGCACCCACAGAGACGTTACCATGCTCAGAATCCCAAACGGCGCCGTAATAAGGCCCCAGGGCACGTACTAAGCGCTATCGCCGCCTGGCCCCGCTACGACCGCCCACCTCGGGAAGTGGTGCGTGGCTGGCATAACGTGTGAAATCAGCTAGGTTGATTGCCGTATCAACCGATAGAACGACTGACATCTCCAGAAAACTTGTTTGTACGTGCCTCTTTCCCAAGCCAGCCTCCTTCACTGCTAGTGGGAAAGAGGGTTTTGTTAACGGCCTTGTCGACGGTTTTTCTCAGTTTTTTCTCCACTGTCGTTCCACTTCGCATCTCTATACTCAGTTTCAATCGCCATAATACCCCCTTATTGAGCCCGACTTTTGCCTTTAAGGTCACAGATAAAAGTTTTAGACGTTCCAAATGTTTACATACACACAGGTCTTCGAGAGGGGAGGGGACGTATCAAAGCCACCAAAACGGGCGGGTGGGGGTACAAAAACCTCAAAAAAGTACCAACACTGTAGTTGACTCTGCTCCCGCATCATCTTAGCCAAACACTCGCAACTCGGACTCATTCCCATCGCGCCACCCTCTCCCCCGTCTGGCACTCGTTGTCGCACACTCAGTACTCCTCTTATCCACGTTACTCTTTCGCATCGCAGTGCTTTCTAATTCCTGGTTGGACACATATACACACATACAGACTCACAGACATACTTAGCTGCTTATATTCATTTAGAAAAATGTTCACCCTCCCCTTTCACTCAAATGCCGCCCAATGAAGTTTTCGAGATCTGAATCTGCCAAACTTGGCCAGATCCAAAAAATAAACAAACCATGACAATAATTAGAAAAGGACGAATTTGTTACAGTTCTGACATCGGTTCAACATGACGGTTGGTCCTACATACGCTATGGATTCATCTCTCATTTCATGAAGTGAACAAACCAGCCCGTTCGGCGTTTCCCGCTGGGGCCGTATGCTGAATGTTGGGGAGGGGATGGGGTCCCCGACGGTCGACGGACTACTTCAACTCGGTCCTTAAACCGCCTCAATTTGATGCTTACCTCAGAACTAAGCCTTAAAGAGAGGACGGACCGCAGGTCCCCCTCTCTCCAAGGCTTAGTCCTGGGGTAAGCAAACCAGCCCTTTGGCGGAGCTGCTGGACCAGCTGCACCACTTCGTCATCACTCTCCTACCGTACCGACCGAGTTCAAGTAGTCCGTCGACCTCGGGGACCCCATCCCCTCCCCAACATTCAGCATACGGCCCCAGCAGAAACGCCAAAAGGGCTGGTTTGCTTACCTCTCATTTCATTGGCTGCTATGTCCGGTAGAATCAGTGCGAGTCAACCGATATTTGTCGAAGGTAAGTTTACGTAGGACATCAGAAGCGTGAGATGGACTTTAAAAATATCCGAGATGTTCAAACATTGGGGATCACAGTCGCGGTAAGGACGTTATGTTGAGGAATGCTTATGTAAATACTTCGCTGAAAACCGCAACGTCATCCACTGGGAGGAGGTCCCTCAGCCGGAGGTGATGGTATCTGAAGAAAAAATGTTACCTTGCAAGCAGGATCGAGAGAAAAGTTTTCGTAAGGTCGAATTGTGGGCTTCGTCCAGCCACTGTCGCTGCTCCAATCGACGTCAAGCATATGATCCGCGAAGAGGCAACCAAAACCAAGGGACCCAGGCTAAAACGGAATTGCAATAGAGATGAACGAAAGCTGAAGAATGAAGAACTAAGCACTGTCTCCAAAGAAAACTCGCTATAAATCGACGCTTTCAAAACTATACGTGGTACCGTGAAAGATCCGAGATCCAAGAAATTGTTTTTCTATCAGTAATATACTCAAGGGTTAGTACCTGCTTTGGAAGCGACCTGCGCTTCTCTGGCTCCAGTTCTGTAACTCGGAGATCATTGTGATAGAAAGTCTGCACTTTGCCGCTTGCTGCCGAACTGAAACATCTCATTTATCCATGTGTCAGCATATGTGCTTCACTTGCTGAAGATGAGCGTCTGTTCATCACAAGAAATAGGGAATTAAAGTCACAAATGTCCAGTTCTAGCCTTTTTCCTAGAAACCATAAGGAATCTATCTGTACAGTGCGTTTCAAAAGTATGTGCACACCCTCAAAATTCACGTTTGAAAGGGAACCATGAGGTTTCGTGCTATGAAATCCTTCTCAATCGATTTCTCGTAGTCGATAACCTATCAATGGAAGCAAAGCAGATAATATCGCCTCACTTTCGGAAAAAAAATTTGGATGAAATTTTTTTCTTTGTTTCAAAAGTATGTGCACACTTGAAGAAGATCAGATTTTGGCGCCGAATTTTCCACCGATTTCAATCCGACTTTGCTGTTTTCATTTCGTCATCATGTCAATTCGCGCCATACTTCTTCCTGAAGATGAGCAAGCTCAGATCAAGGTTCTGCATGATAATGAACGTTCCAATCTAGAAATCGCACGATAACTTGGTCGTTCTCCTTAATGCATTGGAAGATTCATCTGGCACCCTGATAATTATACTCAGCACACACTCCGCTCCATCCACGATCCTTGACTGCTCAGAACAACAAAAGAGTAGCCCACATCCTGTCGAATTCTTCATTGTCTGTCCGAGCTCAGGTGGGTTTGCCAACCTTGAAAAC